ACTCTCTCTAGCGTTTCTTCCCCATAGCATCTAGGAAATCAGTGATATGGACGTTTTCCAAGTTTTTCAAGTGCGATTAAAACCCTGTAGCTGCACAGAAGTGCAGGGACTTGCAGAGTCTTCAAGTTTTCCCGGAGTAGACCACTCCTTATCGGCGCATTTATTGGCACTTAGTCTCAATAACAATGACAAGAGGAAGAAAAAAGAGCTTTCATTTACTTACAGTTGAACAGATAGGGGAAAAAACAGCATCGTGTACAAGAATGACTGCTTACAACAACAGGCCCCAACAGAGGATTGTTTCCAGCAGATTCCTGCGAACTACAAGACTAACTGCTATCAGACTAAATGAGAGGAAGAAAAAAGTCTATCAACTCTCTTTTATTTTTCTTTGAAATGAGAGACAGGGAAGGAATTCTTGATGACTGCGAGATTGAAAGGTCTCTTGCACCCAAATCTCTTAGAGGCAGCATACGAGATTGCAATGACTCCTGATTCTACCCAGGATGCTTAGAAAACCAGCGATGGGAATTTTTCTACTCCTCGCCCAGCTAAGGAGGATGAGATCCGGCTTTCCCGAGATCATGACCTCCACGTTTTCGTCGGCTTCTCCTCCAGGCTCTGAGCGTCGCAAATGTCAAATCCCTGCTTTATTTTTGTCTACATAAAGGAGAAAAGTCCAGACAAACCCTCAATGGGTCTTAATATAAATAGTCACAGCTTTGCCCTGCCCTGATGCTGGAAATTCCCCTCCGGAAAGCCGGGGCCGCCTGCCACAAAGCCAGACGTTTTGGGTTTTCTTGTCCTTTCCTGCATCCCCAAATTTTGTACCATCTCGTCTGAGTCGGCGAGAACGCGAAAGCTCACCGTTTAGGGACTTCTTAGCGGTGCCTTTAAAAGCCTCCCTCAAACGTCACCGAAAGTTCTGAGCTTCCGTGTAAAGGCAAAGCATCTGTGTGTGTTTTAATTAAATACTTTTAATCACACGGCTCGGACTATGTCACTGTGTGTGTTTCTCGTTTCATTGGCATAAGAAAAGAAACCACCGCTTGTTCTGAGGATCAAGTAAGAAGCAGAGGGAGGACCTCGCTCTCTTCCGCAGGAGATGTAGGCATTGCAATGCCCCCCACAATATCTGGACCTGCTCCCCTACCTCGCTTGCCCCCCACGGACCCTGCCACGCACAGCCTTCCCTCCTCTTGGGGATCAAGAGAAGTGGGGTGGGACGCCGGACCCGCCGGTTCCTTTGTGCTCCAGGCTGGGGCAATACACCGGCTTGGAGACCCCCTCACTATTGGGGGGGTAGATCATGGATTTCGGGATCTCGCTGATCCTTGAAAACGGGGGCTTCGATGTCTCGGACTAGCTGTCTTTATCGGTCTCCCTTGGTAGACCCTCCCTCTGGATGCCTTTCCCCCCCCCAAAGCGTCCTTATGGGGACCTCTAAAGAGTGGCCCCTTCTCCCCCCCCCAAAGCCCTTCCCCAAGGAGCCCCGATCAGCCCTCCTGCAGGGAGATCAACCCCCCCTTCCCAGCCCGGCCATCAAGGAAGGACTCAACGGCGGTAGACCGGCCGCCTCGCCCTCTTCAGTGCATTTACTCTCCAGCCGGCAGAAGAAAAAAAAAGACGTCGTTTCTGGCCCGATCCGGGGGGGGGGGGGAGATGTCTGTCTCGGACTAGCTGTCTTTTTGTGTGTGTGTCCGGAGAGGGTCTTCCCTGTCTGAATGGGTCTCCCTTGGTAGACCCTCCCTCTGGATGCCTTCCCCCCCCTCTAAAGAGTGGCCCCTTCTCCCACCCCCAAAGCCCTTCCCCAAGGAGCCCCGATCAGCCCTCCTGCAGGGAGATCAACCCCCCC